CACACAAATAAAAAGATCTCCCATATTTTCCCATATTTTCCCATATGTTCTGGGGAATCGGCGATTAATTGTGTCTGTTTGTTTTTTCCCCTCCTGAAAGCCGCTGGTCACGGAGCGCGCAGACCACCTGCCGGGCGGCCCGGTCCCCTCCTGGCCCCGAGCACGGGAAGGACCGGGGCGGCACTCCGTGAAGCGGGCGCTCTCCGTGGGTCCCCGGAAGTCTCTGGCAGTCTTTCGAGAGGGGGGCGGAGGTGGGGCAGCAGCAGCATTATGTCGGGCGCGTCCCCCTACAGGAGGATTCTCGGCGAAAAACTAAAAATACCCCAAAAAGACCCGGAAAAGGTCACAAAATACCCCACAAATAGTCCCCAGACTATGTTTGGACTATTTTTCGATTATTTCTGGTGTACTTGAGTGATTTGTCGTCGAAAATCCTTCCACCTGTAGGGGGACAGGCCCGACTTCACAGCAGCAGCCAGCGGTGCCACGCCGCCGCGGGGAGCTCCTCAGCGTGCTGCCGCTGGAGCAGCGCCAGGCATCCGGACAACGACGCACGGCTCACACGCGAACGAGCTCCCGACGGCGGCGAATCGGTGGAACTCTTCTCCGGTGGCAACTCTGAAGGGGCCCCAGGACACACAAACAAATACACACGCACGTAAAAATGTTCCCCATATTTTCCCAGATGTTCTGGGTTTCTATCTCCCCCCCCCCACTTCCCATATTTTCCGATATTTTCTAGGGAATCGAGGATTAATTGTGTCTGTGTGTTTTTTCCTCTCCTGGAACTCATGGGGGGCCTCCCATACCATCTTGTCGGCTCTTGCGAGTCGACGCTTATCGACGCCAGTCGACGCGAAATCGGCGCTATCTCATCCACTCCCAGGCGCTGATCGACGCCGAAGACAGAATTTAAGAGTGTACACTGAGCTCCCAGGATTTGCTGCCGAACTCCTCCCCCCCCGAGGAGGAGGCTGAGTTCTGATCATATCGATGCATCGGCGACGCATTGGATCGGCGACGTCGGCGATGCATCGGCGCCGTCTGCGCGGAGAAGATCGGGACCAAAATCGAGCCGCATCGCCGGTAATTAAGTACATCGGCGATGCGGCGCGAGGCTCCGACACCACATGGGAGGACTGGAGCAGCACAGGAACGAGAGGACGAACGGGGACGGACAGAGGCCGCGACCGCGACGGGGGAGAACGCAGAGGCGGCGACAGGGGCGAAGCCAGTCGCGGGCGGACACCAAAAGACACGGGCCCAGCCCTTCGACTGCTTCGGCGGCAACTCTATGTGAGCCTCTCATACCTTTTTG